TATTAGTAATGGTGTGTTACTCAGTTTCTAATCAAGCTATAAAAATATCAACTCTGAACATTACAAGCATAATTTATATTATGCCATGATTAACTGTCTGAGCTTCATTAGTGCTCTAAACACCCAGAAATTATGCAGTTTTAAAAAGCCAAAGGAATATCTCCTCCAATATTACATCCAAAGAGCTAAAAATGTCAGTAATTAATGCAATTTGAGAGCTCTTTAATGCAAAGTGTAAACAATGACATGCACAGATTCCCCTATAATCCTGGGTGGAGTGAGGTGCAGTACTTCCAAGGTAAATCTTGCCCAAATACACAATGCAAAAGCCCTGGTAAAGGCTTGCACCCACACCAGTCATGTTCAAGGGTACAGATCACCAGGCCACAATGCTCTCATTAACAGATACAGTGAAGCAGACAAAGCGTTCTCACTGGCTCTCACTACACCTTGACACAAGAAGTCAGGCACAGAGTCAAAAAGACATGATGAAGTGTCAATAATCAATTAGGTCCATTAAGTGCTAGCCAGTCAAGCACCATTACAAGTTTCAGCAGCAAAAGGTGACTGGACAGTCTTATCATCTGCCTACTCAAGGGACAGAGTTACATGTATCATTCAAGACAACCTTTTCAGATAACAATCTCATCTCTCTCTCTCCTCCAGGAAACAGGGATGGCGCCTCCCACTAATGTGGCCTGCATTCAGTTCTGGCCTGGTGCAATATGTGGGTTGAGTTTGTTGTTGGTTCTCTCCTTGCTCCGAGGGTTTTTCTGTGGGTTTTCCGGTTTTCCCCCCTCTTCAAAAACCAACATCTCCAAATTCCAATTTGACCGGGATAGAGGAAACCAGCTGAAGCTAACATATCTTCCTCTCTAAATATTGAACATTTATAAATTTATTTATTTTATCCTCTTCAGCACTGTTTTAATTTGCAAGAGCACCAGAAAATCATCAATAGTCATTAGTTTTGTGGAAGTATGTCTTGTATCCTCACCTGGTCACAGATCCTTCCCTCACTCCATAAACATTAACTNATAGAGGAGTGCTCAAGAGGTATACAGTTCAGTTCAAATGTTTTCCAATCCAATGGATGAAATGAGCCAGACCTGTGTCATTCTATTAGTAATGGTGTGTTACTCAGTTTCTAATCAAGCCATGAAAATATCAACTCTGAACATTACAAGCATAATTTTAGATTACACCACGATTACCTGTCTGAGCTTCATTAGTGCTCTAAACACCCAGAAATTATGCAGTTTTAAAAAGCAAAATGAATATTTCCTCCAATAGTACATCCAAAGAGCTAAAAATGTCAGTAATTAACGCAATTTGAGAGCTCTTTAATGCAAAGTGTAAACAATGACATGCACAGATTCCCCTATACTCCTGGATGGAGCGAGGTGCAGTACTTCCAAAGTAAATCTTGCCAAAGTATACAATGCAAAAGCCCTGGTAAAGGCTTGCACCCACACCAGTCATGTTCAAGGGTACAGACCACCTGGCCACTATGCTCTCATTAACAGATACAGTGAAGCAGACAAAGCGTTCTCACTGGCTCTTACTACTCCTTGACACAAGAAGTCAGGCACAGAGTCAAAAAGACATGACGAGGTGTCAATAATCAATTAAGTCATCAAGTGCTGACCAGTCAAGCACCATTACAAGTTTCGGCAGCAAAAGGTGACTGGACAGTCTTATCATCTGCCTTCTCAAGGGACAGAGTTACATGTATCATTCAAGACAACCTTTTCAGATAACAATCTCATCTCTCCCTCTCCTCCAAGAAACAGGGATGGCGCCTCCCACTAATGTGGCCTGCATTCAATTCTGGCCTGGTGCAATATGTGGGTTGAGTTTGTTGTTGGTTCTCGCCTTGCTCCGAGGGTTTTTCTGTGGGTTTTCTGGTTTTCCTCCCTCCACAAAAACCAACATTTCCAAATTCCAATTTGACCACGATAGAGGAAACCAGCCTAAGCTAACATATCTTCTCTCTAAATGTTGAACATTTAAAAATTTATTTATTTTATCCTCTTCAGCACTGTTTAAATTTGCAAGAGCACCAGAAAATCACCAATAGTCATCAGTTTTGTGGAAGTATGTCTTGTATCCTCACCTGGTCACAGATCCTTCCCTCACTCCATAAACATTAACTGTGATAACTTTTCATGCAAGTGAAAGTTTGAAGTTTGGCAAGATTTCATCTCTTTGTAATGTATAATAAATAATTATTTGTGTACAATCAAAAATCAAAACACCAGTGGGCAATTTAACAATTTAGAGTCAACCTACATGTATGTGTAAACCAAACAATTTTATTTTAAGTGTCCTTTAGTCACATTTAATGTTTTGGTGAGCTTTGCTAAAATAATATAATTATACATGTTTGTTTCAAATTTTTGCTCAAAGTAAATCTCAGGTATTATTTGCACATGACAAATAAGTTCCTTGATTTACTTTTTAACATGCATGTATGTGCATGTATGACAACATAGAGATAAATGGAGAACACATTCAACCAATATTCATCTTGTTAAGTCATCAGTTAATCTGGAGATTTTCCTTGCAAACACTTCAACAGAGCTGTGCCTGGCTGAGGCACTTTGGCAAAATTAATCTTCCAGTGTATGACGATGACACGTGTACATGTAGGTACTTACTGACTTTTGTAGATCTTTCGTACAAGATTTGTAGACATTTTTAATGGCACTTTCTTAATTTACTCATACTAGTGGTGTGATGAATTAGTTCTTGGATTCTAAAAATTAATATTTACTCAGACAAACTGGATTGCTAAAATGAGATACACTTTGTGTCTCTTTCAAAAATATTTCATACAGGGTACTTTCAACAAAATAATTTTATAAATTTTTATGGCATTTATAAAATTGCTCTCAGTAGTCAAACAGCCAAAAGTTGTTGTATGCTAGTCTTGATAAGCATTTAATTGCACACAAAAATAGAATTACTGACAGTAAACCATGTTTACATGCAAAATACACATCACCCCACATACATGTACCTCTAGCCTGCACACACACTCAGATTTCTGGCTTTTGTTTCATGCCACCGAAAAACACTGTGAAACAAAGCCGTAAATCTGTCTGTGTGAGCAGGCTAATGTACCTTCTAAACACACTGAAGAAATCAAATTCATATCATAGTTACTGTTCAGATTAATTCTAAGTTATCAATAAAATATCATTTTCTTATTAAGCGCCTGAGGTATGGAAACAATGGTGCTAAAGAGAATCCCATTCTCAAGGTAGGAGAGACCTTTTGCATTTGAAGAGCCCTCTTAGCACTGTCCACTGTGTTGTTCATCAACATTGCCACAGTCATTGGACCAACACCTGTCGACAAAAAAACAGTTGCAGCCATCAACAAACAGGTCATGGCCAAATACACAAACTGATACGGTTTGAACCCAAACAGTTTGAAATACTGTAAAAGAGTGTCTTCAGTCCTTATGTGGTCTGGAAATGGCATCTGACTAACAGGACTTGGTATGGATGGTTTGACAATTAGTACAGTTTCTAAGGATGTAAATTAATTACCCTTTTTTGCTTATTTCTCATTATTGTTTCCCTGTACTTTCATGCAAGTTTCAGTAAGTTGTTTTCATTCTTGTTTCCAGCGACTATGTTCAAGAAATTTCTTGATAAATTTGGTGTGACAAAAGGTGTGAGAAAAGGGGAATTTCATGAATTTGTGTGTGCGATAATGCACACCAGCCTAATTAGGAATTAAGACTTGAATGTAGATTACACCTTACACATGTCACAAAATCATACTCCAATTTACCCATCAATTGACTTCAAAAGAAACATTGGAGGAGAAAAGAACCCTATGCATTCAGAAGTTCAGCAAAAAATCCTGAATATCATTATTATGTGAGCTCTATGCAAAAGGCATTATCTACCTCCAGGCACAGGAGTAATCCAGCTTGCTTTTTTCCTTGCTTCTGCAAAATGTACATCACCAAGGAGACGACGCCCACTCTTTTTAGTCTCATCTGAAGAAGGCAAAAAGAGAAACAGACTTGTTATACATGTAAAAATATTTACATCTCACCTAGTAACCAGGATTGATTTTGAAAAACTAAAGGTGGCCTGACCCTTGCTCTTTTCCTGACAGGTCTGCAACTAAGTCCAGCCAGGGGAATTAGTTTTCTAAATGGTGAAATGTGAGTGGTCTACATGAGGAAATGTTGACCACTTATTGAACAAATCCTGTTGCATGATTGAACAGTCAAT